CCGGGTCTATCTTTTATCATATAAGTTTTCCATCTACTTTTATTTGCATCTTTACTTTTCCAATCTATATCATAAAAATACCAAAAATATTTATCTTAACATATTATCCCTATCGGATCTCACTTTCGCAAGTGGCCGTGAAGGGATTGACAACCCCTTTATTGCGTTGGTTGCGAGCTTCTTGTTTGTTTGTGTAGGTGCGTGGGACTTCTGAGGAGCCTCCTACTGGATTGATACCTTGGTTCTCAAAAACTGAGAGAAATACTTACGCTACTTTGTTGCATCACCCTTTCCTCTTCAGGAAAACCAACGCAAGCTCAAGACGTAACAATGCCTCATGTGATGCTTACCGAAGGGAGTATGTACATGGTTAGCTTACGACGTTTCCGCCGATGACTCACCAAAGTGCATACTCTATTTCTTTGAAAGATGGAAGGCTCAATATTAAAGAATGGAGCAAACTAATGAAGGCGCGTGCGCAACCGATTGGAGACAACATGCGTCTGAGCAAGCCAGAAGTTGGTGACAGGTGGATCTCCATTCTTCATTTTGGAGATGGACTAGTTTACCTGTTATATGCTATTTTACGTAGGAGAGAGGACTAGGTCCTAGGTAGTAAGAATAATTAGCTAGGGTTGATTATGACTATGATGATGATGATGAGTTATGTGCTACAATGTGTTAGCTAGAATGATGAGATGTCGTATGACTCATAGATGATGATTATGAGGAGTTGTTATGATGATGCATGAGTTGTTATGACTATGATGATGATGATGATCAGGATGAGTTGTTATTATGATCATGATGAGTTATTATATTATTGGATGATCATAAAATCATATGATGAGACTACTTTATAAAATCTGTACAAATACAACTCAAATAAGCAGAAGAAAAAAACAGGATGTAGCAGTAGCGCTGGTTATACCCACGCGACTGCTAGGTAGGATAGCAGTAGCGCTGGTTCCGCCCACGCTACTGCTAGGTAGGTTAGCAGTAGCACCGGTCTGGCCCACACTACTACTACACAATAGCTGTAGTGCCCTACCAGTAGCGTTGGACCCAACGCTACTGGTAGTATTTCAACCCGCGCTACTACTATGGTTTCCCCTAGTAGTGTGACTTGATTTGGCGAAGGGGCAGAGCATGCAAGGCTAGACTACATAAGTTATACATAGACGATAAGATTTGGTCTCATGCTTAAATTTACTTTTTATTATAGCCAGCATGGTCCAATGTTGTCACAGTATCCATCAAATATGAAGAGTTAAGTCTATATCTATTGCATGAAGTAGCTATATACTATAGAACATGCGCTAGCTACCAATATGCATGCATATATTTTATGTTTGCCTTCTAAGAAGGAGAAAGTAACTATTGGAAACATCATTTTAAGTGCAATATTTCATACTGATATAACTTATTACAAGCATCTTATATACACACATGATTATGTTCAACATGAACATAAGAAATATCTTGAATTTTCATGGTTACAGATAGACCAAAACATACCAAATAAACTATAATCTAATTATTCTTTTATTTCGTGCCTAGAATACCTCATTTGTTACTGAAAGATAACAACCGCAGAATGTGTTGTTCTAGCCTGAATTAAAATAAGTAAATAATACATTACAAATATTTCAAATATGATAGTCTTCTTTTTTAAGGAAAAAGAGATTGGGATGGGTGAGGAAGGAGAGCAGATAGATTGGGATTTTTAAGAGAGAGTAGGGCTGCTCTTCATGGTTGATTTATTATAGAATTGGATCAGTGCTTGGGGCTGGTGTGCTGGTTGATTTACAGATGTGTACGAGCTCCAATGTGGTTCATGCAAATGATGAACAGTGAGCTCCAATTGAATGTTGTGAAGAAGTGGACACTGTGACATGGAGATAGCGGTGGTAGCTGCAATTTTCCCAAACGTTGTTGTCCTTCAGCCATTACACTAAAGGGGTTGTTTTTTGAAAGAGATCCCTTTCTGAATTATTAGTTCAGAAAAAACAAGTACTATAATTCATCTAGCACCATACTACCAAATGGACACAGCTAAGCAGGTTAATCAAAATATCTTACAGGAATCTGCTACTTTGGAAGATAGCTTACAATATTTTGGAGATTGCTACCTGTTCTCTCTTAGTTCACTGACCTTCTGCGTGGGAGGCGTAGTCGTTCAATTTTGGCAAGGATCAATAACCATGCATGTCGGTGTTATGCAGAAAAGCATGTTAGATCCACAGACTAATATATTTGTTTGGTTTCTAATGCATTTACTTGTGTCTCGTGTTTCTTAAGAATATTGCCTGATATGTGTCTAATAAATTAAGAGATTGCATCTGCAGCGGTCTATAGCTACATAGAGGATGACTAGCCATTGACAAGCACCATAATGTTTTTATTTCACATGTGAGAATTAGTCCATGCATTAGAATTACAATTACTTATGTGGAATTTCCTCATAAAGTCTTGCTAAGTCCGAGTCGACTGAGACATAACGAAGTCTCAGCTGATGCTATATGCATGAGATCTTACATTATGATTCCTGCAAAAAAAAAAATCTTTTTTTTTTCGTTCTCTCTCTTTCATGTTATGTCACTTGACTGAGACTTGGTTAAGTATTAGTCGATTTAGACCTAGCCATATCCTTTTGTTATCAAATAATCGTACACTAACCAGTGGCAAGACGGTCGAAATCTGCACACATACAACACTCATTGTGATAAGTGGTTAAATACATAATTCTTTTATCCCGTTGCAGTCCCTTTTGCTAGTCAGTTCTAAAAAAGGGTCAAAACAGTGATTTCGGCCTACGCGGGCGTCAAAAGCGCTGCTGAACAGGCCAGGCTTCCTCTAGCCGGGCTGCCAGCCCATGGAACTGCGCCAGCCAGCCGAACGGGCCCACGGAGCCGGAAGAGGGCGACAGAACGGGCCCAGCGCCCGCCGCCCGCCGCCCGCCCCCCGCCGCCCTAGACCCCAACATCCCGCGCGGCCACCGCGGACATCCACCCCGCCACCTCACCTGCCGCCGCGTCGACCGGGACGGCCGCCGCAGGCATCCACTCTCCTACCGCCGCAGGCATCCACTCTCCTACCGCCGCGTCGAGCACGACCTAGGGACGGCCGCCGCCCCCGCCATCCTCACCAGGCCGCTGCCTCGCACGACGTCTCCTTGCTAGCATCTCAGCAGGTATCTCCTCGCACGTCCTCTGCCCCCTCCCCGTATTTCGTCATGTTTCCCCGCGTTCACGGCGTTCCCCCTTTGGAACAGATTGGTCGGAGATCCGCGTTGATGAGCTGAACTGGTCAAAGCCGGACGTGCGAGTGCTGCTTGTAGGTGCCATCTTGATCTCGGAACTCAGCATCGTGGATTGCGCTTCTTGGTACCTCAAGGTAATCTCTAGCAATTCACGAATCAAGGGAACATTTGTGTTCTCGCTGAATTTTCCACCATCCACCCACACATTTGTGGGCATCTTAACCTTCCACCGTTTCCGCTCTAGTATAGGTAATAACACCACTTCGATATGCTCCAAATGTCTTCATAAGTCTTGCTATAAATGACAAGTCATCAAAGAAGAGTAAAGCAAATTTCCTCAAAACTGGAGCCAAATCTCTGTTCATGGCTCCTTGTAATGTTCCTGGAGCTCCAGTCAGTCCAGAAGCCATGACCTTAGTGTCCAGTGTGTCTGAAATGCAGTCTTAAAATCCTCTCCTGGTGCTAGTCTGATTTGGTGTTATCCTGCCTTCGGGTCTAGCTTTGGAAACCAGGACGATCTAATCAATCCATCTAACAATTCATCTAGGACTGGTAAAGGATATTTTCCTTCCTTTGGGTTTTAAAGCATTCAAATGCCTATAATCAATCACCATTCTTCATGTGCCTTCTTTCCCCTTGATCGTAATAACTGGTGAAGAAAAGGGACTATTGCTAATCTGAATCATGCTATTTTTCAGCAGTTCAGCTATTTGAGTCTCCATTTTATCCTTTATAAATGAGGTGCAGTCCTGTACTAGTCTTGCTCCTGGCACTAGTAGTGGTATAGCACAATCACAATCTCTTCTGGGAGGTAACCCTTCGGGTGAAGAAAACACTTCAGGAAAGAGGTCTAATATCTGTTGTATCTCTTCAGTTATATTGGATCTAGTGTCTGACAACAGTGCACTGATAGTAATAACTGAGAGCATATTCATCTGGTATTGCTCCTTGTAAAGTTACTACAGTTCCTTGGTAATGAAATGCAACCCATTTCTGCAACCAGTCAAATTGCAGGCGCCATCAGATGGAGCAGCCGGCGGTGGTGAGGCGGCAGTTTGCTCGGGCTCTAGTTTTCTAGCTCCTCTTCCTCCCTTTCTCTCTCACATCCCACCATAGCTTACTGGATCTCTCATGATGCGCAACACCCCCTGTCCATATTCGATTCCTCTCACGATCCCCTTGCAACCTAGGCGGCAGCTCCTCCAGCAGAAGCTCGCTGGCAGCAAGCTGGCCTTCCTCCAGCAAGCAGAACCTACTTGCCGGACCCTCCTACTTACTTAGTTAGCTGTGCTCTTGCTCCTCTTCCTCTGTCTCATGCTACCATAGCTCATTATCGATAAAGCATAGATGTTTCATGCTGGGTACATTTTGCTTGACATTTGTCTGGTGTATCTGTTATGTCATGAACTGTTCTTGATATCCCAATAACTAATTTACATGTCGCTTTATCCGTCATTGATAATTGTTAGGTGCTACTATTATGTCACGAGCTGTTCTGATATACTAATAACCATTGCTGCTATTCTCTTATGCGCTACGTGATACTTGCTTTATTTGGTTGCAAAATTTTGAAGGTTGCTACAATCTGGTTGTTGGTAATTTTTATGTGTAATAAAAACATTTAATTCTGCTGTGTATCTTATCAATTATTCATTGTCAGCAGCATTATGTGACTAACATTCTTCTGTATTCGTTTCTATAACAATCATTAACCCATGCTTTGACAGATTTCGTAGTCATGAACTACAATCAAGTATACAAGACTGTGTACCAGAACACGTCACGTCAAGGACAGTGTACTGTTTCAGTTAAGGAGAAATACATAGACACCAACAAAAATGAAACAGATTTACACGAGGCCATTTACAAAGTCGGGCCACTTGAAGTGAAGTGTCTAGTTAAGGAGGATTGTCAATCTGACCCAGCGCCTTTCCAGTCGTATTGCATTCTTCAGGACTTTAGGCATCTGAATATAGTTTCGATTGAAAACTACTATTTTGATGAATGTGGCGAAGGACGAATGGTTTTGTCCTGGGTGGACCAGACCCTTAGAGGTTGGTTGGTGAAAGTGGCAGATGAAAAGCACAGGTTGAAAGCATTTGAATCGACATGCATGAGTTGCAAACCGTCAACCATTTTCAGAAAAATGGTGATGTAAGTAATACGTAAATGTGTGTTTCTGTTTCATTTTCCAAGTCCAGATAATTCTGACATGTCCTTTTTATAGTGGTATGTGCGATGCAGTGCAATGCATGTTGAAAAACAACGTATACCCTTGTTCCATCCTCTTGGACGATATTTACTTGGTGAATCATGCATCACCAACTGTTAAAATACTTGTTTCTGATGGTGAGAACTTTGTGAATATCCTTTTTTCCTTTCAATATTTGCCACTGAATATATAATCCTGTTTGCCTTTGATATTTGTCACTAAAGAGGTGTCCTTTTTTTTTCCATGTAGTGATACAAATTTATCGTAACTCTCATAGAATCTCTCATGAAAGGTTGATTTGGAAAGATGTGAGAGAAGTGGTGGAGGAATGTGTTACAATTGCTGCGAAAAGAGCTATACACCCCGACACGAAGAGATTTTTCCAGTATATAGGCTTTGCAAGTGTGAAGAAGTTAGAGTCCTACCCTGACACATGGAATGATCAAGATAAAATTCAATACCTGTTGCATGTTATGTCTGGGAAAAAGAATTATGTGAGCTCCAAAGTTAATGGCATTAGAAATTTTAATTGGCCGAAGGAAAACTCAGGTCATTTGCCTCGTTTATTTCGTGACCTGAAGGATCATCAAGAAAAAGAAACCAAGTCAACATACAACACTAATGATCCTTACGACTATCTGAGATTGTGTCGGAATGGCATTAAACATTGGGATTTGTTACCAAGTCATATAACGGTATGTGGAAATACTTTTTTCTAATTAAAATGTTAGATTATATACTGTCTCATCTTTGGAGATTTTAGTATCTTTTAGGTGTTTACGTAACTCATCTAGAAATTTATTCTTATATGCAGATCATTTGTGGTGATGTTTCTGGTTTCCTCCGATATATAGAACGGTGGAATCCCGGAATTTGGTGTGATCTATATGAGGCACTTGAGGCCTAAACAAATCTCATGTAAGTGTTCTCCTAAAACTGAAACATTATGTTACTATTTTTGTATAGACAATTCTGGGCACAATTGTTTACTATTTGATGCGACTGGTGGCCTGGGTAGTCATCCATATTACTTTAGCGGGGCGGGAGACCCTTCATACGCAGGCGGCTATGGTTATAAGAGCGCATGGAGACAAAAGCGACATACAATTTTCAAAATGAACATGTGTAGGCAACATAGCTCCGCTACCGGTTGAGTTATAAAACATTCTAGTCATGATGACTATGCTATTAGGAGTGGTGTGGCGCTGTGGGGGTGAGGGGGGTGGTGGTGGTGGTGGTGGTGATGGTGGTGAGGGCATAGAGGAGACGACGGTGCTGCTGATTGTAGGCTGCGGCTCCTCCGTAGCATGGCGTGCTTGATCGAGAGCAAAGTCCATCACCCCTTGCCTAATTCCTCTATTGCTAGTCTTGAATAGTCAATCTATATGCTTTTCATTCACCGCCTGCTTGTGGCATCTGCGCTGTTCATTCAGAATAGCAATAGTTTCAGCAACATGTGTTTTTACATGCTGTTCATTCACAGTAGTAAGAGATTCAGAACATGTTTTTTTCTGGCACTACATGCACATAATTCAGAGTAGCAAGAGATTCAGACCATGTGTGTGTTGTGGCACTCCATGCAGTTCTTTCAGAGTAGCAAAGAGATTCAGAACATGTTTTTGAGAATAAACATGCATGATGTTCAAAACTTGCTAGCGGTTCAACTTTTTGCTTGTGAGATGACTCAAATAAGCTTTGTCATTTTTTGCATCTGCATGGTTATCCTTCAGTCTGAGTGCATAGACGCCTATCGATTTCCTTCAGTGTTTTGAGTGCATGGAGGTGATTTAACTGATAGTCCATGCGCAAGAGTGTGATAGACGCCTATTGATTTTCTTTTGGTAGAGATCCACAACATCCTCACACCACTTCTTATGATTGTCCCACAGCAGTTGCCATTTTTTTTACCATTCACCATATAAACCATTGAGTGGTTGTCACATTTCCATTTTACCACAACATCCTCACATCACTTCTTATGATTGTCTCACATCACTTCTTACAATGCATTTTTCTCAGACGTAGTACCATAGTGTAGTGTACCATTTTCATACTATAGCAAGTTTGCATTATTTTTTATTTATAGAGTAATTTGTCAAAAAAATTATACCAAAGAGCAGTTTGCATAATTTGCATTTATAAACGGAGAGGAATACGTATATCATAAGCTGATGCATAGCAACAGTTACCAAAGGAACACCAAGTCAAAAGATCAAAGAGTAAACTTCTTTTTTGGGCCCCTTGTAGCTTTTTGTTCGCTCTATAAAATCCCTTCTTTTTTCATGCCTTTTTATAACTTTTGCACACCTTTCATAATTTTTAGCAACTCTTTTTGTTACCACTGACAGTTTAAGCAAGTTAAAAATCTGGCAAGCATGTGTTTTTTTAAAACCCGACATCCAAAAGTAATCATAATATGACAACCAAGTACTTACAGTTTGACAACTAAGTTAAGAAAAAAATTTGGCAACCAATTACAAATAATCTGGCAACTAGGCATTTTTCTTTAAACAAACATTTATAAGACAATTAGTTCATTTTAGTGTTCTCAAAGGTCAGGACATTGGGTGCTAAAAATAAGAACTCCCCCCTTGTAGATTTTTTTACCATAGCATAGGGGGCACAAGTGCTGCTTTAGCTTACCATAGACAGGGTCTTTACTACAGGGTGCAAGACTTCTTTTGAGAACACTATACAAATAAAATCCCTTCTTTACCATAGACAGGGTCTTTACTACAGGGTCTTACCATAGGCTAGAGGTGAAACCCATAAGATCTCGCGACCAACTCATGGCTCTGGCACATGGATAGCAAGCTTCCACGCACCCCTGTCCATAGCTACTTCTTTGGTGATACTCCAATCCTTTAGGCAAAACCGTATTTGGCAACTAGGATACAAATAAAATGACAAGTACCACACAAACCTGTGTCATGTGCCTCAACACCTCCAGCAGCCGAAAACTTGACTCAGTTTGTAGGGAACAAGGCGCCAAGATCCACCATGTGAAAGCTTGAATTGCCCTTTTTTTCTGCTGCGTGCAAGTATTTTGTGAGATGAAAAGCACATCAGGTAACATGTTGTTTTTTCTTGTTTCGTTTTTTGACAGATGGAAAGCACCTAAGCAACCTGAAGAGAAGTGATGCAGACTTTTCACATATATATTCCTGGCAAAAGCAGTTCAACTGTGTTTTTCATGTGCCAAACATCATGTATTCAGGAGCTGTGGATCCATGTTTTGCAAGGGAGCTGGGGACGGCATGGCCTACCTGTGACGTTTTGCTTTTTTTTTTTCAATTCAGAA